GGCCTCAGCATGGCCGGAGAAGCGGTGTGTCGGTGCGCGCCCGGGATCCGAACCCGGGCCGCCAGCAGCGGAGCGCGCGCACTTAACCGCTAAGCCACAGGGCCAGCCCATCAGTTCTTATATTTAGAATTATTATCAGTTTTTTTCAGAAAACCATATTTCTTTGCATTGGCTTGTTGCTTTTTCGTAGCTGTTGTTGACATTGTTAGCAACATGCTAATTCTCCTATTCCAAATATTAGGTTTTAATAAGAAAATGTGTTCTCCTAGCATTATTTCTGATTTATTGAAGCATGAGAAATCTTTACAAAACATGTGCACTCTTTACAAAGTAGAAATTATCTATATAATCTAATTCTAAGAAGTTTTATTAAATTTCACTATTATTTAGCCTTTGAGCTTGAGAATAAGTGAGAAGTCCAATGTTATAAGTGTTTCATCCCCAACAATTAGTAATACTTATAACTTTTTCAATAAATTTTATGTGACTATATAGCCACATAATTAAACCAACAAGTCATGAAGAAAGATTAAAGTGACAGATTTGTAAAGGTATCTTTAGTGTCAATACATTTTTATTTTATAATTGCATAAGTTAAAAATTCCCATGATGGGCTGTTAAAGCACAAGAACCCAGCCTGTCGTCTCTGTTGCCCAAAAGGAACACAAGTTAACAAGCAGCCAGAAACATTTCTGTAATTAATTTTGTGGTTCTGAGTGTCCTTAGTAGAGGGGAAAGGAAAAGGAAGATCTTAGTTGTCCTTGCCTATAGTATTTGGTATGCTCAAGGAGTCTGTTCAGTAAACCATAGTCCTTGCCTCGTTAGTCACAAACATACTTATACACATTGGGTTTCTGTGCTTTTCAAACCTCAACTTTTCCACTTGCAAAAAAATAAATAAAAGTCAATTGTTTTGGATCAGGTTAGGATAGGGAAAAGCATTCTTAGTTGTAGAATGAAAAGATAAATTTAAATATAACCCCCCCCCAAAATAATTCTCTATTTGCATATCTTGTAATGAGAACTATTTTTTGTCTGTCAATGTTAATCACTTTCCTTTTTGAAAAATTTATTTTAAAAGTAATACTTTTTTATTTAAAAGAAAAGTAAACAGTAGAGGAGGGTATAGGAGAAATGTAAAAGCTCCCTCCCTCACACAGACTCCCAGCCCTGTCCTCAGGCCCACTGTTAACATTCCTTCAGAAATATCCCAAGTATCTTTATCTTAAACATACAAATAGGATTATTCTGTACATAATATTTTACATCTAGGGCTTTTTTTAAATGTCTGTTAAATACTTGACCTTGTAGCATACACCACTTCGTTTTGTTTTATTATATATCTGGAAATCAATGCTATCTCATTTTTTATTTCATTTATATAATCAAATAATGAAAAATTATAGAGGTATATGTGGAAATGATTTAAGACTTATTTGATAAGATATCTAATACTTAATACTTATAGCATTTTGTGAAACTTGAAAATTAATTTTCATATTAAATTAATCTGATAATAATGTTGTTGTTTTGTCGTGCTTAATTGTTAGTTTCCGAGGGGATGTTTTGCCAGGCTGAGTATTCCTTAATGGTAGGACTGTATTTTATTATTAAATCTCTAGCATGTAAAACAGTACCTATCTGCTCATAAGCATTCAATAACTATTTTTAAATGAACAAACATGAATATTTCATGTTTCAGTAAAACTTTACTGACTTGAAAGCTAGATCTGTCTGAATTAGAGAACAGTAGGAATTTATAGGATAGTTTTTTTTTTAAATTTTTTGTTTATTGCAGTAACATTGGTTTATAACATTGTGTAAATTTCAGGTGTACATCATTATACTTCTATTTCTGCATAGATTACATCATGTTCACCACCCAAATACTAATTACAACCCATCACCACACACATGTACC